CGCCATAGGTTCTCTGCAATTTCAGCTTCTCAAAACCATAAATGTTTAAGGAAAAAATGTGCTGACTCCAACCCTGTAATTTTCTCACTGGGGAAGGAGCTGAGGCCTATTAGGCCAGCTCTTGGGGACGAGTGGGCGACAAGAGGCCGGGTTCCTGGACGCTCCCCTGTGCAGGGCGCCAGCTCTCCCCAGAAAGACTTGAAGATCTCAAAGCACTTTAAAAGACAGTGGAACAGGTCAACTCCTGTATCGGGTGGTAAAACCAGACAGGAAAGTCCCATCTGCACACCTTTTTTTTTCCTCCCCCTGCACACCTTTAACAGGCACATAACTGAAGGTGAAAATAAAATCCCTCGCCCCAACTCTTTCTGGTTGGTTACTTTGGTTACCAGGGAATTCAGCTTTGATTGTGCCTTGGGTCTGGAGTATGTCTTGGCCCTGATTTGAGAGTCAGTACTTGCTAAAGAGCCACTCACACCCACCCAGTGTCTGGTGTGCAATGGCGAATCAGAAGCTGGTGCTTCCAGAACAGTGGGCACCTCTGGGCAACTGGCAACCGGTGACCCCTCTGGGTGGGGTCCCTTCCCCTTGGGAGGAGCCCTGTGCAGTGCTGGGCCACAGGCTTCAGCCCTGACGGGCATGGAGACTGTTTCTCAAAACCAGGCCGCCCCAGTCTGTGTTTAGGAGGGCAGAATTTACAGGTAGACCCCAGGGAGACGGGGAAGGAATTAACCTGTCTCCTGCCAGATTCTGGGCTCTTTTTGTGTGAGACCCACGGCCCGCTTCCTCATGGAGCCCTGGCCTGGTGAACCCCTCACCCTTTGGCTTTCAGCTCCAGGGCGGCCTCCTCCAGGAGCCTCCGGCCCTCCTGCAGCTGCTCAGCTGTCTGAGCTCCCTGCACGTTTCCTTTGTCGTAGTTTGTAACTGGACAGTTATCTGTGTGGTCGTCTGATGGACCATGGGCTCCCCGGCTAGCCTGTGCATGCCACCCTTTATTATCCTGTATCCCTAGTGCCTGCATGTGGGAGGGACTCAACAAATCTGTTTGTTTAGAGAAAGTTAATACAGTGGAGGTGAGGTACCAAGGCTGAGGCAGAAAAGATGCAGAAGAATAAGCCACTAAGAGGCTGAGGGGCAGGGTAGGGTGGCCTGTAGAGGGCCCTACTGTCGTCAGGGTTGACAGCCACAGAACTTGAGTGCTGGTACTGAAGGCCCCGGGGAAGCTGAGAAAATCTGCATTTGGGATAAACCTGTTCTCTTTCAAACTCAGACAGGAAATTTAAGGTCCTCTGGCCTGGACACAGGGCAGAGGCAGAAACACAACTGGGTATCAGAATGGTTTCATGCCCTTGTTTAAGGACGAAGCCATTTGGGCTGACAGAGACGTGGCTGTCTGGGCTCCACTTTGCTGCTGATTTTGGGGGATAACCAGGCTTTCCCCAACAGGGGTCGCATAGCCCAGCCTCTGCTGACTGGGGTGCAGTTTCCTGGGTCTCTGTGGACGGGCTGCGGCTTTTCATTTGGGCTCTGTGCATACTGGAAAGAGAGCTGTGTGCACCTCATGGGCTGTCCCCAACCAGGACCCAAACCTGGGTCTGGAGTCTCTGCAACACCCTTGGAGGTACCCGAGACCGACCGAGGAACCCCTGATTCTGCTGGGCTGTGTCAGAAGGTAGAGCATGAGTTGGGAGTTGCCAAGGCGAGGGCTCCCCCTTACTAGCAGCAGCGTCTTGACCAAGCTGCATGGCCTTTCTGAGCCCCCGTGTTTTCAACTGTACAATGGGAGGCGGGATTCGATGCGGAGGTGTCTGTGAAGCACTTCTGAGCAAGTGCCTGCTGCATGGGGCTGCTGTGGACACCATGCAGCAGCGTATACAGAGAAGGCTGGGTGGTAGGTGCCGCGCCATGTCGGCGGCTCAGATGGTGTGAGGCTCACCCCTGGCTTTATGGGTCTCCTTGTACAACTCCAGGTTTCAAAACCACGGAGCAGAGACATGGAAAGCTGGGCCTGTCTCGTCCCCTGGTGGCCGGCATCTCTCGTGTGCTTCCCCAACCAAACACCTGACTGAGCAAGGCATGGCTCCAGGAGCAGAGGAGCCACTGGAGTTGCTGATTCGGCTGCAGGGGACCTGGCCGCTGCTCTCCACACTGGGGACTTCCTGGACTCGGGGGCTCTGGAAACAGGGCTAGGAATGCTTCTGATTCAGCACTGTGCCCTCAAAAGCCACTTTGAGGACTAGTGGCCTCTTGGCTGGGCTGCGGGGAGGCCCTGGCCCACCCCCGCCCGCTGGCCCTCGAAGGATGCGGCCTCTGCTAGACTGTGGCCAGGCCCTGTGGGTGGAGAGTCTGCTGAGCAGGCAACACAGGCCTGGCCTTTCCAAATCAGACGCCTGAACACTGGCCGCCATTCCAGGGTGACGCCAAACCAGGAAACTGGCCAAAGGGCACCCGCCCCACTAGAACCTTCTCCCCTCTTCCGTCCTTGGCTCCCCACCCAGCACGGCTCAGTAAGACATGGCTTGGGAAGGTACCAGGCAGATGTAGGGACCCTCCGGGCAGACCTGGCCCTGTAGGGACATGGGAACCCAGGTGCTGTCTCCTGGATGGACCTGGGAGGCGGTGGGCTGGCCTGGAAGTTGGCATTGCGAGGCAAGGGAATGATGGTCCTCCCGAGACCTGCCACCCTGGGACAGAGCTGATGCCTGTGGCCGGGTAGCTGTGATGGGCAGTTGCTCGAGCGCTCTGACGCTCTCTCTTTCCAGGGATCAACAGGTGGGTCCTGGGTTGAGAGTGAAGCACAAGCTGCCCAGTGGGCCGGCCCCTCACCAGGAGGGGAGCTATTTCAGTGTCTGCAGAGATGCGGACGGGCAGGCTGGCCTCAGGCTTTCACCGTCAGGCAGCATAACAAATGGGGGCTCGCATGCTGGCCCCGCAGGCCTGCCGAGGATGCCCCCAACGGGAGCGGACACCCAGAAGGGTCTGGCCATCAGTTATCGACTGGAACTGCCTCGCTACCCGACAGCCAGGCTAATAGCCCCTGCATTTCTGAGACAAAAAGACAAGTTGTTGGCACCGTGCAGGGGATGGTGGGGGTAGGGATGGAGGGGCTGAGGGAGACCAAGGAAAACGAAGGTGTGCACCGTGAACCTGAGCCTCGGGGGGAAGGTGCTGAGCCGAAGCCCCAGGGCCTTTCAGGGGAACATCTGCATACATGGCCCGATTTTGATAGTGTGGCTCTTTGCTGGTTTCGGTTTTAGGCAGAGAAGTGTACGGCTCATTTGTTGGCTTAACTGTGGGCTGTGCCTCCTTAAAAATGGAAGAGAGGTGTAGCTACCGACACCAGGATGAGACCTTTCATGCCAAATGTAATGTTAGGCATCATGTGTTTGGGTGCACACAACACGGACAGAAACGTGCACAGGCAGGCAGCACATGGGTGCAACACAAGCACACAGACGCACAACCCTGCACTTCGGCCCCAGAGCCAGCACGAGACCAGGCTTCAGAGGGGCTGAGGGGGCTCTTGGCTTCTGGAGGAAGCTCTGTCTGAATTTCCCTGCTACGAGCCTGGGAATGGCAGCGGCAACTGCTCGGATGTGCAGCCAATCTTAAACGGGCTCAGAAACAGCTCAGAGAGGGCTGTCATCTCCCCAGCTGGGGCACAGAGAGGGGCAGGTGCCGAGCGGAAGAGGGTCTGAGTGAGGTGGCTTGAGGGTGACCTTGCTGCCTGGGCCTCATGAATTTTTTTTTAAATATATTTTTTTATTGAATTCAGAGAGGAAGGGAGAGGGAGAGAGATAGAAACATCAATGACGAGAGAGAATCATTGATCAGCTGCCTCTGCACACCCCACAATGGGGATCAAGCCTGCAACCTGCACATGTGTCCTGACTGGGAATCAAACCGTGACCTCCTGGTTCATAGGTTGATGCCTAACCACTGGACCACACCGGCTGGACATAGGCCTCATGAATATTAATGAGATGGAGGTAATGGGTGCTTGTGGGAGGAGGGTAGAGGTACAGGTGTTCCTGAGCCACAGGCACAAAGGCCACGCTGGCTTAACCCTTTGCTAGGGACTGCAAAAGCTAAACAGTCCAGAGAGAGGTGTGGGCACCCAAGGAGACCTCTGCCCCTGGAGGGGAGGGAACAGTGGCTCATGCCCTGCACATCGCTTTGTCATGACCCATCAATCTACAGTTTAACAAGAGTTACGTGAGGGGCTCCTGAAGTAGGATGGTGAGGGCTCCAGAAGGGACCATGCAGGAACAGGCAAGGACACCGAGAGTCCCCAAACGGGGTGTGGAGCACACACACTCTCAAGGCCATCGCTGCCACCCCAGCTCGAGCCCAGTCCTCTGGCTGCATTTTGAGGCCATACTGTTTAGGAAACAAGCCTGGGTTCGTACACAGTGCAGGGAGGCGCTCATGTGTGAGGGCTCAGGGCAGCTGAAAACATGGGCTGGGGGGACACCCACTCACATGTCCCTTCCTGGGCTCCCTGCTCATGAGGTCTGTCTGCGACACTTGTGTAAGTTACAGGAGGCGAGATATGACTAGCACATCCTGACTGATTCTCAAATGGGCAGCAGGTGCACCCATGGTCTCAGATGACTGCACTACACCAAACATTTAAAGAGGAAACAGGTATGTTATAAAGGAAAAACAATTAGTAGGGACGTGGTTCTTTTGCCAGCCCTCCTGTGACACCTACGACTTTGGAAGTGATGAGGGTAGATTTAGGCTTGGCCTGCCTCTGGTCCTCCCCCTGCAGCTCTGTGGTCAGGGACGGCCTTTCAGTGGACCAGCCTGCAAAGGGAGTACTTCCTACCCTGCAGGGAGTGACCTCAGCCAGCCTGGGGGCAGCGCTGTTAGAGAACACGGAACCCTAAGTGACAGTGTCCCAAACAAGGTGGCGAGGAGCTGGGTATCAGTGGTCTTGGCGTCGAGGAATCACAGGCTCCCCAAACACCCCCCCCACTGTGTCACTGGGCCAATACCTGATGGGCTCTGGGCAACAGAGGAGGTGGACGAGGAGCTGGCACCTCCTGAGTCACAGTGGCTGGTGCTCCCGCTGCCGCTGGGGCTCCCGCTGGCAGATGGCGAGGGCGACGACAGGGATGGTGAGCTGTGCTGGTTTATGCACTGGGCCACGGCAAAGCCTGCAAGACAAGTGGAGGGTGACGTGACCAAGCGGGAGGAAACCAGCCGGCCTGGGGGGGGGGGTCCCAACTGTGTGTGGGACCCTCTAGGGCAGTGGTTCTCAACCTTCTGGCCCTTTAAATACAGTTCCTCATGTTGTGACCCAACCATAAAATTATTTTCGTTGCTACTTCATAACTGTAATGTTGCTACTGTTATGAATCGTAATGTAAATATTTGATATGCAGGATGGTCTTAGGCGACCCCTGTGAAAGGGTTGTTCAACTGCCAAAGGGGTCGCGACCCACAGGTTGAGAACCGCTGCTCTAGGGCAAGCCCCCACCTCAAAGGTGGGGCGGGGCCTTCGTGTAAAGGCCACGCTAACCAACTCAAACCCAGCTCCTTGAAGGTCCAGGTCAGCTCCCCAGCTAGAGCAGGGTTGTGAGCTGTAACTTGGAGGGCTTGACCTGGTTCAGCAACATGTGTGCTGTGCCCTTGAAGGGACATGCAGCCAGAGAACTTCAGCGGCATCCTGGAGAAGGTCACACAGGGATGTGGGCCTTTGCTAATGCGCCATGCTATCAAAGGCAGGGTACCAGGCCCAAACTCTGAAGCCACACTGGATGGGAGGAGAGAGCCCCCAACATGCCCTGGCGGGTCTGGTGGATTCAGTGTGGGAGATATGAAAGCCCTGGTGACAAGCCACCAATTACAATCATGCACCGAAAAAGGACGTTTTAGTCAACGATGGTGGTCCCATAAGAGTATAAGGAGCGCCCAGCCGGTGTGGCTCGGTGGTTGAGCGTCGACCTATGAACCAGGAGATGATGGTTTGATTCCCGGTCAGGGCACATTCCTGGGTTGCGGGCTTCATTCCCAGGGTGGGGCGTGCAGGAGGCAGTGGATCAATGATTCTCTCTCATCATTGATGTTTCTATCTCTCTTTCCCTTCCTCCCTGAAATATATATATATACCTATATATATATATATATATATATATATATATATATATGAAGAGTATAAGGAGCTGAGAAATTCCTGTCACCTACCGACATCATAGCCATCATAGTGCAATGCGTTCATTATGCGCGATTTGCGACGACCCTGGTGTAAACAAGCCTACTGGGCTGCCAGCCGTGTAAACTACGTACAGTACATGACTCGTATTGATAACAGACAACTATGCTACTGGTTGATGGATTTACTATACTTTTTATCCTTAGAGAGTAGTCTTTCTACTTGTAAGAAGTCTGCAGTAGCCGTGTTGACCTTGCCTCTTGACTGCATCCTCTTCTCATGCTCGATGGAATTTCCTGCTGTTTTGTGCAGTAACAAGCTGTACGGGCTTGCAGCCTGGGCGCCACAGGCAGTACCCGACAGCCCAGGTGTGTAGCATGTGCACTCTAGGTGCTCGTCCAGTGATGAAACTGCCTAATGACACATTTCCCAGAACAGACCCATTGTTAGGTGGCGTGTGACTGTACAGTTCACACGGCCCTCAGCAACTCTGGGTTCGGCGATGGGATGACCCATTTCTAGGGCCTGGGGCCTTCCCAGAACAGGGAAGTAGATGAGCCCCATGTTTTGGAGTCTGGGAAAATCCTGCTTCACCACTCAGAAGCCCCAGAACATGTGCCCAGTGTTCCTTCCCAACTGCTAGCTGGGGTGTCTCGCCAACTTCCCATCACCCCGCTGTGGGGAGTGCAATGAGAGAGGTCATCAAACTCCTGCAGGGGCGTGGCGAGTGGCGAGCACAGCGTGCACTTTACGACGAAGGGGGCCCCTTTGCATGAGCCTATCAGGAGCCCCTCCTCCAGGGGATATGTGCTTTTTGTCCTTTATACAGCCTGCTTTTCTAAAGGGCCATAGCTTCTGATTTTATCCACGAAATCCACGAACGCTCCCATGGAGCAAAGGCCTCCTCAGTGGTCCCAGGCGCCTGGACAGCCCTGCTGGTTCCTGCTTAGCCCTGGGAGCTGGACAGGAACACACACAGGTGACTGTGGGCCCCACTGCTTTCCTCAGTGATTCAGAAGCGGCACTGAGTCAGGGAGGGGAGGGGAGGGGCAAGCCCTCCTTCCAGCTGAGAGTGGGATCTGGTCCTCCTGGCCGGTCACATCAAACCTCTCCTTCGCTCCCTGGGTGCACTCACCCGGGCCAGCCCTAGACCTCACTCACTCACCTGCACTGCCTGAGCCTCACATCATCTAGCTCCTGCGGACACTTCTTCCAGAAGGTTCTCCAGGCCCTGACCTCGTCTTTCTCAGAACTCAGGAAGGTAGCAGGGTACTGAGCAGGGGTCAACGAACTACGGCCCGGTGACTGGTAAGTAAAGTTTTATTGGCACAGCCATAATCCTTTGCTTACATATTGTCTGTGGCTGCTTTTGAGCTATATCAGCGGTGCTAAATAGTTGCCATAGAAACTACATGGCCTGAAATATTTTACTCTCTGGCCCTCAACCGAGTCTGGTAGAGGATGGAGCAGGATCTCTGGCAGCAGGGAAGCTGGGGTTCTATTCCTGATCTATTCCTATTACCAGTGATGGGGCCTGCACTTCCCTGAGCCTCCCTTCACCCACCAATGGGTGGACACAGGGCCTGTGGGGGTGGTGTGTGCAAGGGGACCTGCTGCTCTATCCCCTATTAGGACTTAATGGGATCCCATGGAGGGGCTATTTTGTACTAATGTTTGTGTGAAGTTATTTTTGACTAAGGATCAGGTCCTTAAAAGCCATACATCTGTTTATATCCCCAGTCCTCCTGGTTTGGGGCGATGTAATGGCAGGCAGATGTGAGCCTGGTGAGAGCGTGGTAGGTAAATCACCGCACCCTCTTCTGTGGAGGACGATACTCCCACCCCACCTATGGGCAGAGGCCTGCCTGCCTGAAGAGCGGGGTTACCATGCTGGAGTTCTCAGGAAAGGCACTGAGTGGTATTCTGAGTGTGTAGTGATGGGGGCCTCAGATGAACTATGACAAACCTAGAAACAGATCCAAACACCAGCCAGGAAGATCCCCTGGGGCAATCAGCCACAGCCCCGCAGGACCAGCTTTAGAGCTGCTTACTTCTTAAACCCCCAAGTTCACAAGCTGCTTCCTTGCCTCAAAAATGAATTGCCCCTCAACAAATCAAAATGTCAAGATGGCTTTTCCTGAGTGGCGAATTTGTCCAGAACTGTGAGTAGAGGGGCCTGCGAGTGAGGAAACAGAGTTAGGACTAAGCCTTTCACCCTCTGACAACGCCTCCGCCCAAATGGATGAATGATGAGGCGGTCACCAGGTGACACTCACCCCTTCTCTCCCAAGCTCTTTAAAGCCCTGGTTTATTGCCATAAGACATCTCGGATAGAGCCTGGGGGTGGGGGGTGGGGGTGGGGAGCAGGCAAGATGCTGAAGCTGCAGTCAGATTACTAAAGTTCCTTCATTTTAAGAATGACTGGGGGTCAAGTCATACACTGGCAATAAACACTGCACATCTGTTATATGTGCTGAGAGTTAAAAAGAAAAAAAAATCACTGACCTCTGATACTACCCATTTGCAGGGTCTAGCTGGGCAGAGGCGACTGAGCGCATCTCTCCCTCATCTGCTACTGCTGAAAGCCCACCTCCCCTTCGTTCCTCACCTTTTTGCTCTCTTCCTCCCTCCCCCATGGCACTGGGAACCCAGAAAGGCTTGATAATGTGCTTTTATTTCTGGATGCCCAGACTCCCCCTGCTATTTCAAGGGGCTCCTTCCCAAATTGAGGTATTAACCACTTTTTTGTTGTTACTCCTCACCAGAGGATATTAAAATATATATGATTTCAGAGAGAAAGAGAGAGATAGAAACATCAATGATGAGAGAGACTCACTGATAGGCTGCCTCCTGTATGCCCCACACTGGGGATTAAGCCCACATCCTGGGCATGTGCCCTGACCAGGAATCAAACTGTGACCTCATGGTTCATAGGTCAACCCTCAACCACTGAGCCACGCCAACTGGGCCTGAGAATATTTTTCCATTGATTTTTAGAAAGAGTGGAAGGGAGGGGAGGAGGGAGGGAGAGAGAAAAAGAGAGGAAGAGAGAGAGAGAGAGAGAGAGAGAGAGAGAGAGAGAGAGAGAGAGAAAGAAAGAAAAATGGATATGAGAGAAACACATTAATTGGTTGCTTCCCGCACGTACCCCACAGGGACTGGGATCGAACCTGCAACCCAGCTACATTCCCTTGACTAGGAATGGAATCCGAGATCCTTTGGTATGTGGGCCGACGTTCTAATCACTGACCCACTCTGGGCAGGGCTGGGGTCCACCACTCTGAGTCAGTTTGACATGCCAGAGGGTCAGAAAGGCCCTGGAGAAGGCCTGTGACCTCAGAGGCATGCCCTGTACCTGCTTCATCCGGGCAAGGCAGCTCTTGCTGACCTGGCTTTGGCGCAGGAGGCCAGGGGCTTTCTGGCCGTGAATCAAAGACATCACCTGGTACTTGCACACACTCAGACAAGCCAGAGGTCATAGGACAAGGGCACAGGCAAACAGGCCTTCCTGAAATCTCCAGCAGATAAAATTCTTGGCTCTTCCAGAGTATGTCTCAAGAACAGCCTGTGAAATGTGTATCAAAGGCCGTGAGGATTTTCACACCATCTGACCGATTCCATATCTAGAAATCTGTGCTGTGGAAGGGATCCACATAGAGAACTACGTGGATGTGCAAAGCACTGGTGTGTGTGGCAGAACTGGAGACAACTGGAGTATCCAACAGCCAGGGAAAGGCCAAGTAAATGCTAACACATCTAGATGATGCATTTGGGAGGGGACATAGCTGCCTGGAAGCTGGACAGGCTCGAGCTCCCAGGTCCCTAACACACCCCTGGGATCTGTTCTGGCTTCCAGAGATCTCTCCCCAGCCTCACTAAAAACCTCCCCTAAGCCAGGTCAGGCACGATGCTCCAGAAGCAGGAGGACCTGTGCCAATGGAGCCCCCCCCCACCCCCACTTTCCAGGAGCCCGGGTTTCCCAGGGGTGGGCCAGGTCTTCCT